GTGCGCGCAGGAGGCCGGGCCCGCTGGTCATCTTCTGAACGTCGTCGTCGGCGGTGGCTTGAGCGACGGCGCGCCCGCGAATTGCAGCGACTTCTTGCGTGAGACCGCTTTCCCCCCGCGGATGGCGACGGGGCGCGCGAGCTGGTTGCGGGCGGCGACGAGAAGGTGGGCGCGCGTTGCTGCGCCGGGGCAGGTCGTCTTGGGCGACGTGGGAGGACGCGCGCGCGCGGCTGGTTCATGATCGCCAGCCCAGCCGCGCAGCGGATCGTGGCTGTTGGCGAGCAGGTCCAAGCTGGGAGCAATGAGTCGCTGCGCGCGGCGCTGGAAATGGCGCTGCCGTTTTGCCCCCGTTGCGACGCGCTTGTCGTGGGCCGCGCGTGCGCCCTCATGTCGAGCGCGCACAAATGCCGCGACCTCGACTGGCTGAAGTTCTACAGCGTGGATCAATTTCACGCGCGCGGGCTCGTGGCGACCTGCCCGCGCGACCCCCTGGAGATGTCGCGGTTGAAGAGGCGGGTTATCAAGGTCGACGTGGCAGTCGCGGGGCAGGTCTTCTCGTGGTTCCGTGGATGCGCCGAGACGGGCAACGAGGTGCGACAGTCTCGTCGCCTGGCCGCGGTGATGTGCTTCTGCCGCCCGCGCGACGAGCTCGCGGGCGCGCGCGATGCCGGCCGCTGAAAGGGCCGTAGAATCAATGCCCCAAAGAAACATGGGGAAGACAGCTTCCTGCGCGCGCCGAAGATCGCGGGGAAGCCTGCGGTGAGTCGCCCGCGCGCTCCGGAGATCACCGAGAATCCTGCTATGATGAAGACGGCCCGTTTTTTCTGAGTTGAGGCCGACGCGCCCCGGGCCCGCTCGATGGCTAGCGGAAATTCGCCGACGTGCGCTTTACCGGTGGCCGCCAAGCGCTGCATTTTTCTTGAATCAGAATTGTGGCTTTCGGATGTCGTGGGAGTTATGCAACGAACAGCAGTGTTTGGTGGCCGTTGGCAAAGTGAAGACGCGCGGGCCCGCCCGGGGGTGGGTGCGGGAGAAAGAGAAGTTGTAGAAATTATTGTATTTGGCAGTGCTTGGTGGCTGTTCGCCTTCGGGTGTCTTAGGGGCTAGAAAATAGCAGGCGTGAGCTCCCTTCGGGGTGGGTTCTGCGGGGGCGTCTCGGGCGGGGGCGGCGTAGCTTCTCATGACAGCGCAGCGCGCGCGCGAACATCGCGCGATGCAGTGCCGCCCGTCGCAGCGCCACAAAACACAGCCGTGACGAATAGTGTAGCGCCCAGAGCGTATGCCACCTGGCACCCCCTGCCTCCATTCCGCTGGACCCCCCCGACGCGATCTGACACGTCAAAGCATTTCGTTCGGCTTGCGGGTGGGCCGCAATGCCCGACGAAACTATCCAGTTTCCTCTCCATATTCCAGTGAAACAAACAACGTTTTTTTTTTTTTTTTTTGTTTCCCCCCCCCCCGAGTCGTGTTATTATTGTTAGTACTACTTCCTTCATTGTCATGCGTACTGATACTATCACTGCTACAATCAGTCATTGCTTCCAGCTGCTGCGCCGACGGTTGCTACTACAGTTCTTATTCAAGTTATTGCTACTGCTACTGCTGGTGCTACTGCTTCTGCTCCTGCCACTGCTGCTGCTGCTGCTGCTGCTGCTACTACCACTGCTGCTGCGACTGATACCCAGGAGGGCTTCGCCCCCTGCCGCAGGCCCCCTCTCTATCATAATGGGGTATATCAGCGTCGCGTCGGTGCGTCTCGGCACTGCCTTGGCGCATCTGGGAACAGCATGCGGGGGCGGATAGGAATCATCAGCGCATATTGGGACGTTGGCGTTACTCTTGTGGCCTTCGGCCCATCCCGACACCGTGCCTGCGTTGTGTCTGCGGCCTCTTTTATATGTGTTGGGGCGTGTCATGGGGGACCCCCAAACAGGCCTCTTGGAGGCGGTTAGGGCGCCTCTTGGGGGTACTTCGCGAAGGGCCGTGGCTTCGGGGACGCATAGATTCCTTAATTCACGAAGGATTATGGCCTCATGGGCGCGTATATTGTTATGTAGAAGGGTTAATACTTTCGACGAGGACAGTATTGCCAAATGTACAAGGCGGGGGCGCAGCAATTGCAGACTTCATTAGGGATTGTGGCTTCGGGGACGCGAATATCGTGTAACTAAAAATGGTTCATGGAATTGGGAACGCAAAATTTACGAGGGATGATTGCATCGGTGACGCGACCATTGTGTCATTCACAGAAGCGTCCGTGGCCTCGGGGGCGCGAGCATTGCGTAATTTACTATAGATTTGGGCTTCGGGGGCGCGAGAACAGCGTAATCTACGTGTTTATGGCTTCGGGAGCGCGAAGGCGGTGTATTTTGCGAGGGTTTATGGCTTCGGGGCGCGATCCTCATGTATTGATTTTTACGTGTTCCGCGCCCCCCCTGGACTTCTGGGAATACTGGGGGGGGGGCTAACCAGGCTGTTTTTCGGTTCCCCCCCCTCGCTC